GAAAGACAAAATTAGCCTTGTTTGTTTTTTTAAATAAAAACTGATTTATTCTAGTTATTAAATTAATATATGCATGTAGTGGAAAACTCAAGAACTACAAAAACATCTTAAGAAAAATAAGATAAAATAATTAAGATTTTTAGTATAAAGTTAATTTTTCTTCATGTATTTCTCTGCAAATACGCACAGACATATACATATTTACATACATACCTGCATGCATACATACATACATACAAATAAACATAGTACACCAGTTAGAGTTCTTGGTAAGAAATAAGAAAAATACTCAGCTTGGATTTTGAAGATAATTAAATGAAGGAACTATTTATAGATTTAAAGGAGCCAGTATGGCTTTATTTGACTTTATTTCCCTCCTTGCAGTATGGGGTGTTGGGACACCCACAGACTGGCAACTGTGGGTAGGGGGAAGGAAAAGTGTGTCGGAGCTTAGGGAGACCTAGAGCCATGGTCAAAGAATCAGCCATCCAAAATTGTAATCATAGAAAGTGTGGGCAAAGGATTAACTAACCCTTCTCCTTCAGCATGAGAATTTGAGCTGTCCTTACTCTCCTAATTGTTTCCCTGGCAACTGATGGAAGTTGGAATGTCAGCAATGTTAAGAGGCAGCTTCACTTATGCTAAAAATGACCCGTGGAATGGGAGAATTATAAAGACCCGATGGGGAAGCCATACTGTGAGCTTCTCTAAATGCAGCGATTCCTGTGGCTGGGCATGTCCCTTGCTGGGACCTTGGATGCTGTGCCTATAAAGTCATTTCAGGAGATGATGCTCCTATGGGTGTTGAGGGATGTTTCATGAACTGAAGATGCAGAGGTAAGACGAGCACACAGGCGATTGATGCCGGGCAGAGGTCACAGCTCGCTCAGGCATGTAGCAAACTCTGTACCCTCAACCATTGCTTTTATTGGGGTTTCACACGAGGTTAGTGCGTCAGCAGTTAATCAACAAAATTTTGTTTTGTTCTGTATTACAATAGCGCATTGAAGACACTTGCAGCTGCGCATTCCCTTTTCTGCTCTACCCACAACTTTTTAATCTTATCTTTTCTCAGGGAGGTAAATATTCTGGGAACTCAAGATTGTGTGCAATCTTGACCTAGCATGACTCGCTTGCAAGTCACATGGTTGTTCCTGATACAACATTCACCTCTTCTTGGCAGGACTTCAGATCCTTGTTTACAAATGTCCAGCTACATATGGGATATAAAGAAAGCTTTTAAACTAGGGTGGCTTCCTCGCCCCTGTGCCTATACTGTGACAACATGGATTGCAGCAAAAACTCCCAGTGAAGCGGAGAGGTACCTGACACTGCCTTGCTGTGTTTCCTGTCCTAAAGCCTTCTGAATAGACTGACTCCAAGTGTGGCCTCCATCTTTGAGCGTAAATACGCAGTTGAATCTAAGGAAACCTTCCTGATGGGCACCTCAGGGATGTATCACTGCCAACACTATAATGCCAAAGCAGCAAGGGGCAGGGGAAATACTCCCAGCTTTGTCTTCTTTTACCCTCCAGTCTCTTAATATTCCTCCCCTCACATTGACTAAACCCAGTCACAAGACAAGAGGTAGAGCAGAAAGAGTCTGATAATCCCAGCTTGCATTAGGTGCTTACCACAGTTTGTTTATCATTCTCTTGTTGATGGGCATTTGGGATATGCATAAAGCTGCTATGAATATTCATGTACAAAATAAGTAATACATTTTCCTTTCTCTTGGATAGATTCAGAGGAGTGGAGTTGCTGGGTCATAGAATAGACAGATGTTTAATTTTTAAAGAAATAGCCAGTTTTCCAAAGTGGTTGTACCATTTTATACTTCCCAACAACATATGAGAATTCCACACTTCTCCAGCACTTGGTGTTAAATTTTTTCATCTGGGCTATTCTAGTGCCTGCACAGTGATATCCTACTGTGATTTTAATTTTCATTTACCTGATGCCTTATAATGTTGAAGACTTTTTCATGTATGTACTTATTTGTCATTCACATATCTTCTTGTATGGAGTATCTGTTCAAGTTGCTTTAGAACCGGGTTGTCTTTTATTCTTGTTTATTAAATTGCGTGAATTCCTTATATATACTAAATTCAAGTCCCTTTTCAGACTTGTGTGTTATATTTTCCTCTCAGTCTGTGGCTTGTCTATTAATGGTGGCTTTGCAAATTTTAAAAACATAGATGAAGTTTGATTTAAAAATTTTTTATGTCTTCTCTTTGCCTATCCAAAGATAAAAAAAAAATCATAGCTGTAGGTTATTAAAGTAATGTCCTTTAAAAAATAATTTTTCATTTAAAAATGAAATCCAGTTTGGATGTTTTTCAGGTCACTATGTTCTATACACTGAATGTGTTCCCCAAAATACATATGTGGGAATGTCAACCCCAGTGTGATAGTATTGGGAGGTGAATAGGTCATGAAGGTGGAGCTCTCATGAATGGATTTGTTGTGCTTTATAAAGAAGGCCCACAGAGTTCCCTTGCCTCTTCTGTCATTGAGGACACAGCAAGGAGATGGCTATCTAGGAATCAGGAAGTAGGCCTTCACCAGACACCAGTGCTATACAGCTTCAGGACATGGTTTGTGCTGGGATTCACAGTGGGAACGGTCATGGTGTCTGGCTGGGCAGTGACAGTGTGGTAAGTACAATGATGTGGAATGCTGGAGAGAATAGTTGCCCTTCCTGGGTATGTCAGGGGATACTTTATAGCAGATAGGAGTTGCCATGAGGTGTGGAGGGAGGAGGTATGGAGTGGTGGAGAACTAGCAGTAGTGAATATTGCTGAGGCTTTGGGTCTGAGACGCAAGCAATGTGAAGGTGAGACTGAAGAGATAGGCAGGACCAGGCCACGAAGTGGTGAGGACTTTGCACGTTGCTCTGTGGCTTCTTTGCAAAAGGTGGAATGAATCAGCTACTACTTGAGCCCAGGTGAGAGGCTCAAGTAGTAGCTCAAGTCTATACTTCTCAAATTCTCAAGTGGTTGTGCTTCAAGTTGTCAATCCCCTGCCCTTACCTAGTGAATTAGAATCTCTGGGATGGAGGATGGCCTCTGAATATTTTCACAGGGTCTGTGGGTGAGTCTGCAACACAGTGGAGTTTAAAAACTACTGGTTCAAGTGGATAAGGAGTAGACAGTGAAAAAGAGAGAAGGGCCTTGATTAAAGAGGTGTTAGAAAGTAAATGGTGACTATTCTTGATGACCAAATGTATATAAGGAATGAAAATTTGAGAGGATTCTGTCTTGGGTAACCACAAAAATGACATCTATGCCAGTCACCTACATGGCAACACAGTAAGATATCTCTGGGTAAAAAGGTAGGAAGTTTAGTTATAAATATAGGACCAAGTTACTGTCAAGAAATAACCTTTTATATTAGCTAGAAATAATATTAACTTTGGGAGAATATGGTTCTATCAGTTTAAATATTAATGATAATAACATACTTTCATTATAGAATGCTTATTCTTTGAAAGGACATATTCAGCTCGTATTTGTTACGCACTAAGATTTGTTGCATTCCTACTATGGACTTTTAGGCTAGATCTTCTTTTTCTCCTCCTCCTCCTCCTTCATTATTATTATCATTATTATTATTAATTATTTTGCAAATGGTGAAACTGAGGCTCAGAGAGGTTGCTTGGTTTCCCTAAGGCCGTCTTAGGAAGCAGGGAGAGTTAGGATTTAAAACTTGACTCTGCCAAGTCTAGGTCCCTTTTCACTATTACACAGCTGCCTCTCATAATGTGGATGGGTAGGGTTTTTTCTTATTATTTATATATGATGGACTTGAATCTACAGGAACTGTGATTTGCCCAAATTTCAAGCTGATAAGTACAGAAGGGACCAGAGCCCAGGTCACTGCTTCCTGACCACTGCTTTTTTCACCTAACTTCCTGTTTCCCATATGATTTGACTTTATTTCCCTCCTTGCTTTATGTACTGTCGAGCCTTTCCTTTCTCAAATAGGAAGAATTTAGAGAATTATAAATATCACTAAAGGCCTGGTGCATGAAATTCGTGTACGGAGGAAGGGGTCCCTCAGCCTGGCCTGCACTCTCTCCAATCTGGGACCCCTCAGGGGATGTCCAACTGCCTCTCGCAATCCGGGACCGCTGGCTCCTAACTGCTCCCCTGCCCATCTGCCTGCCTGCCTGATTGCCCCTAACCACCTCTGCCTGCCTGCCTGCCTGATAGCCCTTAACCAGCTCTGCCTGCCTGCTTGATTGTTCCTAAGTGCTCCCGTACCAGCCTGATTGCCCCTAATTGCTTCCCTGCTGGCCTGATCACCCCTAACCACCTCTGCCTCGCCCTGCACCTGGGACCCAGGATTCCCTCCCTTTGGCTGGCCGCAGGCACCCAGGACCCAGGCTGGCTTTGCCAAGGCTGGCCGCAGCCACAGGCACCCGGGACTGCGGGGCAGGCGGCTTGTCCCTCTCCCAGGCTGCAGCCCCAGCCACTGGTGCCCGGGACCATGGGGCGGGCAGCTAGTCCCTCTTCCGAGCCACAGCCTGGCTGGTCCCCATTCCTCTCTCCCCAGTGTTGAGTGTCTGAGCCATTAAGGAGTGACAGTGTGAGGGCGTGATGGCCATTTGCATATTAGGTCTTTATTATATAGTATTTTATAGCTGCTGGTGTCTGGGACCACAGGGACCGTGGGGGTGTGTGGCTTGTCCCTCTCCCAGGCTGCAGCCCCAGCCACTGGTGCCCGGGACCATGGGGCGGGCAGCTAGTCCCTCTTCCGAGCCACAGCCTGGCTGGTCCCCATTCCTCTCTCCCCAGTGTTGAGTGTCTGAGCCATTAAGGAGTGACAGTGTGAGGGCGTGATGGCCATTTGCATATTAGGTCTTTATTATATAGGATTTTAAGGGAAGAGATATTATTTGAGAAGCAAAGCCAACCTTCAAGGCTCAATTGCTTTAGGCTGGTGTGTGAAGGTACATTTTCAGCCTTTGCGTGAATTCTTTTTTTTTTTTAAATTAGGAACCTGACCTTAGTGATGATGGTAGAAATATGGAAATAACTCCAGGGGAAAAGGTACTTCGAAACACCAAAGAGCAACGGGATATGCAAAATCGGCTGAGAGAGATAGATGAAGAGTTGAGAAAGATGAAGGAAAATGTAAGTTTTTTTGTTATTTAAAGTTTAATTGTACTTTAAATATGATACTTTAAATAAATTTAATTGTACTTTAAATGTAGTTTAAATAAAGTTTAAATAAATGTACTTTAAATAAAGTTTAATTGTACTTTAAATATAACCAATGATTATATTTAAGAGGATTTCGGTTTCCTTTGACAGTTTAAAGGGGTATTTATGTATTAAACCTGTCAAGAGAACTGACATGGGAATTTGTCCGTAAAAATTTGAATGAAAGCTAATAATGATTTATAGAACTTAAAAGAGTATTATACTTAATTTATGTAACATAATAAATCTGTGAAATACCGAAGTCAGAATAATGATCCATATGCCTAATATTCTGTTTTACAGTGACATAAATATCTGTCTTGTATATGTGTGTGGAAAAATTTGGTATTGCTCTGCATAAAATTATATCCACATATTGAACTTATCACTTAAGTATTCCCACCTTTTTGTTAATAATTCATAAAATATTATTACTCATTTTTTTCTTTGAAAAATGTTTGTATTGATTTTAGAGAGGAAGGGAGAGGGAGAGAGAAACATTGATGAGAGAAGAACATCGATTGGCTGCCTCCTGCACACCCTATACTGGGGATTCAGTCCAATTGAACCCTCAACTCTCTGTGCATGGGATGACATTGCTCAACCAACTGAGCCACACTGGCGAGGGCATTACTCATTATTTTTTAATATATTCTAAATTCTTCTTGAGCCTATTTCATTTTTTAAATACGTAAAACATGCCATTTAAAGATATATAATTGCTGATGAGAGAAAGCTCTTAAATCAATTAAATTGTGAGCTCTTATTTAAAAATGCTCTATAATATTATGATTTTTTCAGCTACCCATAGGAGGTTTCCAGTTGGATTCTTGGCTTTTACCTCTAAAATTAAACATGACAAGGCTGAACTACCCACATCCTCTCTTCTAGAGCTGGTCTTGTCATAATTGCCAGCATTACCTACTTTCTGTCTCCTACTAAATCCTATTATCTTGGGTGATCTCCAAGCCCCATTAAGTTTTAACCAGTCTGTGTAATTTATCTTAAAATAGTTCCTTATGGCTCTTTGAAAATTTTTTCTGTGCTGACTTGTGTTACCCTCCTCTCAGCATTGCCACCTCCTGTGTAGCCACTAATAACCTCGTCACTCTCTTCCCTCATCCTCCGTTTTATATGCTGCTCCATGGGAGTGCCACCAGGTCAGTGATTTTGGTTAAATTCTGATCTCCTCAGAGCTCTCCAAGAGTGTGCACCGATCCTGACTGAGATTCTTCGCCCCTCACGGTCACATCCTTCTGAACTGCTCTTAGCATTTGCCAGCCATGAACAGCAGCCCCCACCTGGAGCCTCAGGATATCCAGGTCTGCTAATGACAGCCAGGCAGCAGATCTGCAGGGAATAGATGCGTTGTGCTTTGCTTTATAATTCATTTTTATTTACTTTTATGGGAAATTTAGTGGGGATTATATTTCAGGGAGACCTCTGTTTTTATTTTCTGAGGATTTTTTTCTCCTTTAGTCTGTAGATATGGGGAAGAAGTAGGAGAAGTAGGAATGGTTAAGAAGTATAAAGGGCTTTGGCAAATAGTTGTGGTGGCGATGGAGCATTTCAACTTGATGTGGCAAATAAAATGTTTGTGGTTTGACCTGCTTTGAAAACTGTTGGTTCTTCTCCTCCCACACCTGTCAATCTAAGACAGGCAAAGACTGCGTTTTCTATAATTCAGTTTTTCTGATTTCTGATCATTTATCTCATGCCTTGAACATGTATCTGTTCTTTTTTTTTTGTCATATCCTATCATTATTTAATTTTTGACTCAAAACCTGGGTCCTTTAGGAATCTTGTATTTTATTCCAGTGGCTTCTGAAAGTTGGCTAGACTTGAGACATGATAAGTATCAAGAGGTCGTTGTTGACTAAGTGGAGAAGAATAACATACGAATAGAGGAGAGCAATTATTTTTTATTTTTATTTTTTAAATTTTTTATTACAAAGGGTATTACATATGTGTCTATTTTCCCCCCGCCCTAGACAGTCCCCTAGCCTCCCCTATCCCCCAGTGTCTTATGTCCATTGGTTATGCTTATATGCATGCATACAGGTCCTTTGGTTGATCTCTTATCCCCCTACCTCCTGCCCCCCCAACCCTCCCTGGCCTTCCCGCTGCAGTTTGACAATCTGTTTGAGGCAGCTCTGCCTCTGTATCTATTATTGTTCAAAAGTTTATAATGGTCTCAATTATCCATGAATGAGTGAGATCATGTGGTATTTTTCCTTCATTGACTGGCTTATTTCACTTAGCATAATGCTGAGGAGAGCAATTATTGTGTACCTACTATGTGCCAGGCACTGTTCCAAGTATTTTACAATGTATTAACTAATCTTCACAACCACTCTAAGAGGTAAACACTATTACCTTCAGTTTATAGGTGAGGAAATGGAGGCACAAAGAGGTTGATTAACTTCCTTAAGGTTATATAGCTAGTAAGTGTAAGAAAGGATTCAAATGATTAGCTTTCAACAACTGTGCTATACTACCTTTCTGATTTACTTTTCATGATTAATATTGTTTTTTTGATAATTAAAGTGTGATAAGTTTTTTTTATAACCAGTAATATTCATGGGAAAAATACTTGGAATCCCTCATATAAGTGATAATTTCAGTTTTGTATTTTATAGGCAACACTTTCAGAAACTGGTATCTAGTTGATAAAGGCACATGAGAGTTTATATTTATATTGTCTTTATGTTTTAATTGTTTAGTGTTTCACAATATCATATTGTGTACTGTGTGTGTACTTTTGAGGGAAGAGACTGTGTCTATTTCAAACTCTGCAAAGCCCATTGTTCCTCACAAGCTTCTAGATCTAGATACTTGGTGGGTTGGGAATCTGGAGACCTGAGTCCTTATTTCAGTGTCGTCAGTGCCCTGCTCTGTTACCTTAAATCCCTCACTCAGTCTCTTAGAGACTTGGCTTGTGACTGTGAAATTAGGGTTGGGCTAGTTCACCTTGTCCTTTTGCCTACGATTCTTGGAATACTTATTTTTGGTGAGAAATGGTGTTATTTATATAACCTAAAACTCACTTTGTGTATTTCCTAAATATTTAGTAGTAGTTGGCTTAAATATTCTATTGAAAGTTATTTTTGGAAGTTTAATAGCACTTTTTATGAGAATGTGAGATATATATTCCTGCTATCTATAGACCAGAGAATATGCTTTCTGAATGATAGCTTCTGTAAATGGCTAATTTTATGTTTTGTCTTAGTCTCTCTATTACAGTAGAACATTGTTTTAAATCATTAATTTGGGTAAAGAAGTAAATCTGTGGCCATTGAATTGGTGATTTAAGGATCAAATCCATATTAAGTCTTAGGGTTGGAAGAGGGAAGGGGTGAGCTAAGAGTCAATGTGGGAGTGTTGGGGTTGAGGGGTGGTTACTCTTGGAGCCACATGGATTCCAGTCTTGATTTGTCAGTAAAGGCTATAATAGTAACTTAATTCAGTGTTTCAGATGGTGGGCTGAGGCTGTGGATGCACATTTGCCTTGGTTAAGATTGGTTAAGTGGGATTTGAATTAGTCTGAAGATGGTGGTGGTGGTATTGTTGGTATCAGTGGATCTAGCTAGTAGGAGCTGGGAGAAGTAGGCACGATGAAGTGAGGTGGGGGCTCACAAATGTATGAAATTCAGTGGGCATGCAGGGGCCCTGAACGCCAGCTTACATAAGTAGGGGAAGGATGAGCCATGTAGCTAGAAGCAGCAAATTGAAACAAATCTTTAGGATTCACTCAATATGAGTCAGCAATGTAATGTAGCTGCTACGCTACACATTCGGGGAGAGGTAAGCACAGTGGATCATATTTGGATAGTAGAATGACAAGAATGAGGATGAGATTTAACACAAGGTCATATGAAGGATTGTTGATGGGAATGAGTGTGTTTAGCCTGGCAAAGAATATGTGTGTGTGTGTGTGCGCGTGTGTGTGTGTGTGTGTGTGTGTGTGTGTGTGTGTGTGTGTGTCTATGTTTGTCTGTGTCTGTGTTTTGGGGGGAAACAGGGATAGGATGGTTTGGTAGAAAAATCACACATGGTCACTTCCCAAAGAGATGTAAATGATTATCATTTGAAGTATTACTTTTGTTTTTTATAGTGTAGGGCAGTGGTTCTCAAACTTCCTAATGCTGTGACCCTTTAATACAGTTCTTCATGTTGTGGTGACCCCCAATTTCATTGTTACAATTTGAACATAATTAAAGCATAGTGATTAATCACAAAAACAATATGTAATTATATATGTGTTTTCCGATGCTCTTAGGCGACCCCTGTGAAAGGGTCGTTTGACCCCCAGAGGGGTCGTGACCCACAGGTTGAGAACCACTGGTGTAGGGGAAAATATAGTGATTGGGAGGTCATAAAGAGACAGATATCAGACAAACATTAAGAAAGAAAGAATGATCTCAGCGGGAATGGTCTGTCTCAATCAAGGTTTTCAAATTAGACTGGAGTGACACTTTTATAGGTAGCTGTAAGAAGGGTTTAAGTATCAAAAGGGTGATGGTTTAGGTCAGTTTCTTCAGCACAAGGAGGCTATTTGTATGTGGCACGTATGTGGAGGTGCTGTGCTTTGAGCTCTTTTTCTCATGTCGGGGAAGGATTTGTGCCGAGCCACTCACCTCTTGGCTCATTGGTTCCCAGGGGGTTAGCAGTATTGGCATTGGCCATGGATAAGAATTCCTCTGTCAGGCTAACTGCTTGTATGGAGATGATTTGAGAAGGTAGAATCAAGAGAAAATGGAAACAGCCATACTCATAGAATAGGCAACACAAGGCAAACCCCACAGATAACCTCTCAATCACTTGCCATACAGTGGGCTCTGGTAACTCTAACCCCTGAGTTTCCTGTTGAGCTCAGAGAATTGCTTTCTGTTGTTTTGGGTGCTCCAAAGGCTTCTCTGCCCATTCAATATTCAAACCCTACTCTGCTTTATATTACCTCCCTGGGTTATAGTCCTGCATATAAGTTCTGTAGATGGGATATAGCAGATACTGGAGCCAGACTACTTGGGTTTGAATCTCAACTCTGTACTTATGAGCTGTGTGACATTGGTCAGCTCTCCTGATCTCTCTGTGCTTCAGTTCCTTTATCTGTAGAATGAAGATAATTATAATTAACACTTACTTCATAGGCTGTTTTTAAAAAAAATATATTTTTATTGATTTCAGAGAGGAAGGAAGAGGGAGAGAGAGCTAGAAATATCAATGATGAGAGAGAATCATTGATTGGCTGCCTCCTGCACGCCCCCCACTGAGGATCGAGCCCGCAACCTGGACATGTGTCCTTGACCAGAATCGAACCTGGGACCCTTTAGTCTGCAAGCCGATGCTCTATCCACGGAGCCAAACCAGCTAGGGCCATAGGCTGTTTCGAAGATTAAATTAGCTAACATATGTAAAGTGGTTTGAACAGGGTCTGACACATTTTAAGTGCTATATAAATGTTTATTATTAGTATTACTATTGTATTATTAACATTAATATGGCATTTACATAAGCTTGCTTTTATGATATGGAAGCTTGGAGAAGAATCAAGATGACCTTTTTCTGACTCAAGATAAAAAAAGGGAAGGATGGGCCTAGAAAAGCAGATATAGAGATGAGAAGAAGGTGACTGAGGCCATGTGTCTGTGTTTGCTGTTTACTCTGTAAACTAGAGTTCAAGCTATATGGTCAGAATGAGAGGGTAGAGTGGGGATGGAGTCTTGAAGCAGGTTAGGAAAGGACTGGAATAGACTCTGAGAATGAGAAGAAAGCAATGGTAAACAATGAAGACAGCCCAGCTGAGGTTGTAGCCACAGGTGTGAAATGGAGCCAGCCAGCAAGGCTTGCAATCTTCTCTGGCAGCCCTCAGCAGTATACCAAAAATGGAGAAAATGGGTCATAAGTTGAGATAGAGGTGAAAGTAAGTTCAGTGATTGCAGTGGAAGGTCAAGCGGGCAAGGTAATTGGTACCTATGAGACCATAACTAAAATAAAAACAAAAACAAATGTAATATGTATACCTCAGATATCAGCTAGGACCCCTTTGCCTTTCTTTGACTTGTTTTCATAATTTAGTATGTGTATACCTTAGAACATCATCCTATATAATAAAAGGGTAATATGCAAATTGCCTATCATCCTATATAATAAAAGGGTAATATGCAAATTGACTGAAAGACAGAACGACTGTTCAATGCAGGAGCTGCCCCCTGGTGGTCAGTGCTCTCCCACAGGGGGAGTGCCACTCAGCCAGAAGCCTAGAAGCCCAGAAGCTGGGCTCATGGCTGTCCAGTGCAGCGTGGTGGTGGGAGCCGCTCCTGCCTCCGTGACGGCCCTAAGGATGTCTGACTGTGAGAGTGTGCAGGCCGGGCTGAGGGAACCCCCTGAGTGCACGAATCTTGTGCACTGGGCCTCTAGTACTGTTATAAAA